AGAAATGGGTCAGTGGTTCCTAAGAGCCATTGTCGCCACTCCTCCAGGGCCCATTTAATTGCCAGCAGTTCTCGGTCCCCGACCCCATAGTTCTGCTGTGTAGGGGAGAACTTCCGGGAAAAGTACGCGCAGGGGTGGAGTTTGGAATCCGGACCCCGCTGCGACAATACGGCTCCTGCTCCCATCTCGGAGGCGTCCACCTCCACGACGAAAGGCCGGGTAAGATCCGGGTGGAGGAGGATGGGCTCGCTTACGAAGCGACGGACCAGGTCATGGAAAGCTGTGATAGCCTCCGGGGTGAGGCGGAAAGGGCGAGGCTGGTTGGTTGTCTTGGTTAAGGAGGTTAATGGTGATGCAAGAGAAATAAAATTGCGGATGAACCTGCGGTAGAAGTTACAGAAGCCCAGGAAGCTCTGCAGTTGTTTCAGGGTTGTGGGACGTGGCCACTGCGCTACGGCCTGTACTTTCTGTGGGTCCATACCCAAACCCCGGGATGAGATGATGAACCCCAGGAACGAGGTGGACTCCTGGTGAAAAGCACTCTTCTCCAGCTTGCAGAACAGTCCGTGCTCCAGGAGGTGAGACAGAACAGCCCGAGCATGCTGGGTGTGTTCCTCTGCAGTGCGGGAGTAAATGAGGATGTCGTCCAAATAAACAAAAACCCAATGGCCCAGCATGTCCCTGAGGACATCGGTGATAAAGCGCTGGAAAACAGCAGGGCTGTTGCAGAGACCGAAGGGCATAACGAGGTACTCGTAGTGGCCGGTTGGTGTTATGAAGGCGGTTTTCCACTCCTCTCCCTCCTTTATGCGGATGAGATTGAAGGCACTGCGGAGGTCCAGTTTAGTAAACAGGGTGGCTTGGGAGGTGGCGTCCAAAGCTGTACTCATGAGAGGAAGAGGGTGGCGGTCCCGGATGGTTATCTTGTTCAACCCTCGGTAGTCGATACAGGGCCTGAGATCCCCCTCCTTCTTTTTAACAAAGAAAAACCCCGCCGCTCCAGGGGATGTGGAATGATGGATGAAACCCTTCTGGAGAGCATCGTTAATATAGGAGTCCATCGCCCGGGTCTCTGCCGGGGAGAGCGAGAACAGCCGACCCCGGGGCGGGGTGGTCCCGGGCTGGAGTTTGATCTCCAAATCGTAAGGTCGATGTGAGGGTAGTCTGGTGGTAGGTTCCTTTGCAAAGACCTGAGCAAGATCATGGTATTGGGGAGGTACGAGCGTCAAGTCAACATCCTTGGGCGGTGTCGCCCTAGACTGTGATCCCGGAGTTGCACAGTGGATACGGCAGTTAGCACCCCAAGCCGTGACTTTATTAGTGGACCAGGAGATGTGAGGGTCATGGCGGCGGAACCAGGAGTGACCCAGGATGAGAGGAGTCGTTGGGGCTTGAATGACCAGGAAGTGAAGAGTCTCCACGTGTTCGTTTATGGTCAGACGGAGGTTCTGGGTTGGGTGAGTGAGAGGGTATGGCATGAGCGGACGACCATCCACTGAGGTGACAAGAATGGGGTGGTCGAGAAGGGTGAGTGGTATATTGAGCCGGGTGACCAACCCCTGGTCGATAAAACATTCCGCAGCGCCGGTGTCAAGGAGGGCTACCAGTGAAACCGGTCCTTGGTCCAACTGGAGAGAGACCGGAAGGGTGGTGTGATGTGGAGCTGGATGAGTGGAAACTCCAGGTGGAACAGCTCCTACACCGACCCGGAGGGACCGTTTCCCGGTCGTACAGGACACGTTGCCCGGGGGTGTCTCAGATCCCCACAATAGGCGCATCGTCCCTCCTGATAACGTTGCGCCCGTTCCTCGGGGGGTAACCATCTCAATTGCATGGGTTCCTCCGTGGGTTGGTTCTCCTGACGACGGGGGAACGATCTGGTGTGTGAGGGAACCGACCTCACGCTCGGTCGGGTAATGATGCAGCGGTCCAGCTGGAGGGCCAGGTCTACCGCCTGGTCCAGGGAGGTCGGAACTTCGTGTCCTCACGGATATGGGTGGACAACCCCTCCAGGTAGACGGCCTTCATGGCGTCATCGCCCCAGGTCAGATGGACAGCTGTGGTTCGGAAGCGTGAGGTGTAATCAGCCATGGTTTGGGAGCCCTGGCGGAGTTGGAGCAGGCGGGTCTCTTCCGAGGTCTCGCTGCTGGGATGAACGAACGCCTTCTTCATCTCCCTCACGAAGGACTCATAGTCGTTGCAGATGGGAGATTTCTGATGGTACAGAGCCGCTGCCCATTCACCGGCTCACCCCGTCAGCAGGGAGGTTAGCATGGCGACACGAGAGCAGGACGTCGGGTAGCGTGCCGGCTGACACTCGAAAGTCATGGCTAGGACGGCCAGCAGGCTCTCTGAAGATCCTTTAGTCCCGTCCCATTTATCTGGGAGACTTAGATTGGGCTCCCCGCTGTCACGAGTGGCAGACGTCTGTCGTTGGAGCGACGTGGAGAGTTGGATGACCAGCTCGGTGACAGATTCCAGTTTGGACGCCTGGCGGTCCACGACGGCACGAAGCTGGTTGTTTTCCGCCTCCTGGCGTTCTAATCGGCTGCTCAGCTGTGCTACCTCTGCACGCAACTGAGCGACCTCCGCTGGGTCAACTTTGGTTTCAGTCATCCTGTCAGGGCAGATGGGCTGAGCTGAAGCGTAGCGGAGGTAATTGTAGTGTGGCTGTGTGAGCCAGACGCGGAGTGACTGGCGTTTGGTTCTAACAGGAACGCAGCTTGCTTTTAGGAACGGCGATACAGCACTCGCATGGAGTCGAGGCTGAACTGTGGTTCCTTTGGGTAGGGAGCTGTCGTGAGGGAGTGCAGACAGCGTGGAAAGTTCTCTTTCCTGGATTGATTTTGGAATAGTTTAGGTCGGGTTGGTTTGGCGTCTGTCATGAGACGATGACTGAATGACAGCTCAGCGGTGACAGTTCTTTAAATAGATTCCACGTGGTGATGTCACCGAGTAGCGTCGGTGACGGGAATGCTGGGAAATGGAGTGCTGCGCCAACCCGGCCCGCAGAGGAGGTCAGGAGGAGGAAGAGTTTGTGACAGAAACCAGCCCTGCTGTGAGATTTGACATTGATAAGAACAATCAATCAATCAATCAATCAATCAAAGCTTTATTTATAAACCGCCTTCCGCAACCCTGTCAGGAAGCCCAAAGCGCTGAACATTGTACAGTTGTATGTAAATATATTGAATAAATCAACAATAAAAGAAATTCAAATTACAAAATACAAATTACAAAATACAAAATGGAAATTACAAGATAGATGAAACATTCTGGTGAAGGACAAATGTGTGAAACACATTTGGATTGAGTGGATGGATTGTGTGTACCAATGAAAACTGTGGAATGGATTCAACATAATAGAGGGCCAAAATCAAACATGTTCTGGAAACGCCAAGCGGAGGAGGTGTGTTTTTAGGTGATTCTTAAAGACTGGCAGAGAAGGGGACAGCCTAACTGAGGGTGGCAACTGGTTCCAGAGTGACGGTGCTAGGACTGAGAAAGCCCGGTCCCCACGGGTACGACACCTAGACCGAGGGACAGCGAGCAGGCCTTGGTCAGAGGAGCGCAGAGCACGTGATGGGGAATGTTTGTTCAGGAGTGTGGCTAGATAGGGGGGACCACCACCCTGGAAGAAATGATAGACAAAGACGAGGATTTTGAATTGTGAGCGATAGCAAATCGGAAGCCAGTGCAGAGAGGCCAGAACCGGACTGATGTGGTCCCGTTTCCTGGTCCCAGTCAGGAACCTGGCAGCGCTGTTCTGCACAACCTGTAGGCGATGCAGTGTCGACTGACACAACCCTGCATAGAGAGAGCTGCAGTAGTCAAGCCGAGAAATAACAAAGGCATGCAGTACCCGCTCCAGGTGGGCTCTCGACAGCATAGGCTTGATTTTAGCAAGGCGTCTCAGGTGAAAGAAACTGGACCGGATCACAGAGTTGATGTGAGCATCAAATTTAAGTCCTACATCAAGTTTCACCCCCAAACTGGTAACAACTGGTTTTGAGTATGGAGAAAGAGGGCCAAGATCAGCATAACGATCCACATTCCTGCTGTTGGGGTGAAAAACAATGAGCTCTGTCTTTCCCTCATTCAGATGTAGATAGTTGGACATTAGCCAAGACTTCACCTCATTAACACAGGAGACAAAGGACTGAATAGAGTGACCTTTCTCCTGACACAATGGAGAGTAAATCTGGCAATCGTCAGCATACAGATGGAATGATAGGCCATGTTTACGAAAGATTGACCCCAGAGGTAGCAGATAAATGGCAAACAAAAGAGGACCAAGGATCGACCCCTGCGGGACCCCCCAGCGGAGCCCCTCCCAAGAAGAAAAAACATCACCCAGTTTAACACAGAATGTCCTGTTGTGGAGATACGATCTAAACCAGTCCAGAGCTGACCCTTTGATCCCAACCCATCGTTCCAAGCGATCGAGTAGAATTGCGTGGTCAACTGTGTCGAAGGCTGCCGTCAGGTCTAACAACAGAAGCAGCACAGATGTTCCCCTATCTAGTGATAGATAGATGTCATTTAGGACCCTCAGTAGAGCAGACTCTGTGCTATGGCCAGACCTGAACCCTGATTGGAAAACCTCAAACAGATCAGAGTTAGCTAAATGTGAGACCAGCTGCTGATAAACGACTTTCTCAAGCAGTTTAGATGTAAAGGGCAGGGTAGAGATAGGCCTGTAATTTTCTATCACAGAGACATCAGCACCAGGTTTCTTCAGGGTCGGCCGAATAACTGCTGCTTTCAAAGCTGCTGGGACAACACCTGTGCTGAGGCTCCCATAGATAATCTGACCAAGTGAAGGGCCAAGGCACGGAAAGGCAGCCTTCCAGAGACGAGGTGGCAGAACGTCAAGTGGAGAGCCAGATGTCTTCTGTCTCGCAACTAGCTTACTCAGCTCAGAGTATGAAACTGTATTGAGGGAGCTCAGGGTGGGTGGTGATGGAGGAACTGGAACAGGGTCAACAGAGTTACCAGAAATAGCTGCTCTAATGCCCGACACTATCAACAAAGAATTTGTGAAAAGCTTCAGAGTTTCCAGCAGCTGTAGGAGACATGGAGCTAGAACTACATCTAAAGCAATACGCTTTGGCATTCACTTTGGAAAATTGGCTTTGAATGAAAAAAAAACAACCAACACACTGGAAACATCTAATTTGAGTAAACTTTAAGATATAATATTTAAACTACTCTTACACATAAAGATAAACTTTTCATAGACTGAATATAATTGGTTTGTTGAGATTTGTCTTGCTTGAGATCAGCTCAAATTTATTGATCTCCAAAAACACAAAACAGTGCTTGAAATTTAAGTGTTATAATTGATAAATTTATAAACATTCATCTAAAAACACACATTTACTGTAAAAGCACTGTTACTAACTAGTGACCCGTTGGTGCTGACTCTGGACTGACTGCAGGTTTGTACTCAGGTTTGCGTTAAGTAGATATTTGTAACTGAAAAATTAGAAAATAAATATTCTCTTTGTTTAATATTTGGCTTTTTGGGAAAAAAAGGCCTAATAGTATTGCTTACATATATATAAACATCTAGTACATATTGCTAGCTGTTTCTTTAATATTCATAAACAGTTTTTACATTTATATACAGTTTAAAGTTATCTGTTCCAGTTTCTACACAAGTTTTATATATATTTAAGTTTATAGATATATCAGTTGTATTTGTTAGTTATCAGGAATTATTTTTTAATTCTACTGGTATTAAAGTATTTTACAAAGAAAACTATTTGCAAAGGTTTTTTGCTTCCTTTACTAACATTTATTTGACTTAGAAAGATACAAATACTAAAGTTTGTGATTGTGCTTCACAATTTGACCATTGTTAACTTAAATATACAAATTTTATTACATTAGAAAAGTATTCCCTGATCCTGAATCCATTATTTAACTTTTACTGACTACAGGATTAGTTTCACTGGTGATTTGTGAAGAGTGAACAACTTGATAATAAAATAAAAACATCTGGACTGAAGACCTGGAGCTGTAGTTTCCTGTCTGAAGAGAATCTACAAGCAGTTGAATCCAGAAACTTGTCACCTGCTGTCCAGCTGTGTTCCAGATGTTGGTTATAGTCGCTGTTTAAGTGGTTCTTGTGTTTCAAAATAGACGTTATTGAAACCTTATTTAACTGTGTTAGAAATCAAAAGCTACTGCTGATAAAAGCTTAGGTTGGTGTGTAGTTACAGTTTAAAGTCAACGTTTAACAGTTGTTACAGAGTTCAGTTACATTTAAAGAGCAAGTCACTCCCAAATAAACTTTTTTTGCTGATAAACTAAATAAACGAGTGTGTAATGGTGCTGCAGAATCGTGTCGTCAATAATTTGGCACTTCAGTGCATCTTAGTTAAAATTTAAATATTCTGCCTAAAACTGGCAGTGTTGTGCCGTTGTCAGGTAAAAACTGCACTGTATTCTAATTTAAATCAGCCACAGCTATTGGCTAAGAGGTATGATATGATGTCATCTGGTACATTATGATGTCACAATGCTGTCGTGAGCCTGTGTGTGTGTGTGTGTGTGTGTGTATTTGTTAGCAGCTCCGCCCTCTCGGTCTGCCAGGCAACAGCATTTGTTGCATTTTTCAAACATGAAGTGAGAGTGGAGTTAGACTCTGTGTGACGCCTCAAAAGGCATTTATGTCATTTATATTGCATGTTTCATTTAAAGTTATCCATTTATATGCTTTTAAGTTACAAAGAACAGTGAAGAGGTTAAAAATGTTAAATGGGAAGATTTTATTTTGAAGGTGAACTTATTAATGACCTCACTTCCTGCTGGGTTACATGCATTGGTTGATTTCCTGTTTACTTCCTCTTCTTGGCTGCTCTGAGAGTGAGAGTGTCATGCGGTCATGCTCTGAGGCTTATCCACAGCCATCCACTTGGGAATATTGTTCAGGCAACGCCGTAAATGTTTAAACTCCATGATGAAGATGTTAAAAAAGCATAAATGGCTGTAGTTGTTAAAAAACAGAACTATTTGTATTTCACAATGATTGATTTGTACATGTTAAAAGAGGTATTTGTTTGATGGTCATTTTCTTTGCTCAGGCTAATACAATTATGTAAAGTCATATTTTGACTTTGTGAGGCAATATTTATGTAAACATGATCATTTATTCTATTCTGTATTTCTTTTCAATTACAGTTTTCACCGCTTGTCAAATGAAGGTTCTAAGAGTAAAAAGTCAACTCTACTCTGACTCCTGTATTGTTTGACAAAGGTTTAGCTTGGTGTTTACTCAGAGTTGCTACACTCTGCAACAGGACACTACAGTGAAAAGGCGAACTCAATGTTTCTACTTGGTCGAGATGGCAGCCAGCAACAAGTCATCGGTATCAAATACCAGGAGCAACATGACATCAGCATCATCAGTGAGTGCAGCCCGTGCCAGAGCTAAAGCAGAAGCTGCTAAGGTACGAGCATCGTATGCTAGTCAGGAGGCTAAATTAAAGCTGGAAAAGGCTGCTAGAGAAGCAGAACGGCTAACTAGAGAAGCTCAAAATCATTTGGAAGCCACTAGAATTGATACAGAGCTGGAAGTGCTGACATTAAATCGTGAAGCAGACGCAGCTGTCGCTGAAGCACAAGTGTTGGAAGATGTAGCAGAAATGCATGGAAATGTGGAAAATGTGAAATCCGAGTCAGAAGAGAGGCTTAGATTGCAACGCATCAGTGACTATGTTCACTCTCAAGATCACAACCAGTCTCCCTTTGAAGCGGTATCTGTCCAACCTGAATCGCAAAACAGTTTCAGAACATGGCTTCCACCTGCAAGCTTAGCAGAATTCCAGTATAGCAAGAGCAAGCCTAATCCTGAAATGGGTGATGGGACACATCCACCTTCAAAAAACCTGTCTAAACTGACCAGAGCTGAGTCAAAGACTGAAATCGAAAGGACAGACCCTCGCACATTTACAGGTGCTCAGTCACAAACACCCAGGAAAATGCTTCCAGTGAACGTGTCACAACCACCAGACCCTCTGGCACAGTATATGGCGCGACGTGATCTTGTTGCCTCAGGACTGTACCAATTTGACGATAAGCCAGAGAATTATCGTGCATGGCGGTCCTCATTCATTAATGCTGTGGATGAAGTTCAACTTACAGAAACACAAGAATTAGACCTCATGACCAAATGGTTAGGGAAAGAGTCTGGCCAACAAATAAGGTGCATACGTTCAGTGTACGTGAACAATGCAAGTTTGTCTCTCCACAAGGCATGGGAGAGGTTGAATGACTGCTATGGTGCCCCTGAGATAATTGAGCAGTCATTGTTCCAGAGACTCGACAGTTTTCCAAAAATTACGGCCAAGGATCACGTCAGATTACGTGAACTTGGAGATTTGCTCACGGAGATACAAGGCGCCAAGGAGGATGGATTTCTCACCGGGCTGACGTATCTAGACACCTCAAGAGGTATTGGACCCATAGTAGATGTAGCGTTGTGGTTTTATGCTCTTTTATGAAAGAGAAACCATGCTACGTATTAATTCGGAATATTAATTTTAATAAATCAATAACCAAATTTTATATTGTTCAGAAGACTCAAAGGTTGTTTTCATCAATAAACTGACGATAATATCTAAGTGTCTGTGTTTCAGTTCAATGAGGAAACCAGTTTCACAATTAAAAGTTTTAATTCATCAAATTAAACTAATGATTTTGAAATTGACAAACAGGAAATACAATCAACATTGGTAACTTTGTGGGACAATCTTTTTAACAGTTGATATGCTGTTCTGGCTCAAATAGACCTTCTGATGAATTTATGAAGATTGAGAATGTTGTGATTTGTGCTGGTGATATGAGATGAGATGGATGCGTGTGTGCATCTGATTTTGCTTCAGGAAGAAACAGGTGTCTGAGTGAAAAGTGATGGTTTGAATAAACTTCGGTTTAGTGGAAAAGATGCATCAAAACGCTATCTGTCGTGTTTTGCCTCACCGAAAATCGGACCCTCTGTTGGACCCGGGACGTCACCTTAGGATGTTTCATCCAGGGCACCTTGGCTGGCAAAGAAGACAAAGATGCGCTGCGAACCGGTCCAGAGTTGTCCTCGGTACACGTTGATGGTAAAGCGTTTTGTCGACGCGCTGTCTTAAGTTAATTCACTCAGAAATCAAAAGACTCGGTAATGAGTCTGCGTTAGAAGTTGCGATTCAGCTATTCTGCCTGGCTTGGCAGAAACAGCGTGAAAAGGGGGGGGGGGGGGGGGGGGAGAGGGAGAAACGAGCCAGCCGGCTCTGCCCCCCTTTCGGTTTTCAGGTCCACACTCTTTCGTTGTCCAACACGAACTGCCACAAAAGACTGAAAACTTACTAAAACCTTTCTCTTCTCAAAGCAAAACATGTGCGTCATCAAATGTGTCTGGAGTTTACTGTGGGAAGGTGTGTGTGGGTGTGTGTGAATGTTTGTGTGCTTGAGTGTGAAGGTCAGTACCAAACATTCTCAACACTGTCTAATTATGGATTCATTAAGCCATTATAATTACCCCAAAGCATAAGAACCATTCATTTGATTAAACACATTTATAATGAGCAAAATGATAATGGTTATTCTAACATTAAAATCAAGAAAAAGAAGTTTAAACTTTATGTTTTGACTTGGTCTGGGTACAACTCATGTAAACACATCTTCTGGTAGACTGCAGGTGGCTGATGTTATGGTTTCCTCCCAGACTCGCTGGCGTTCAGGACTTAATCTGTGGGTGAAAGTTCTCAATGACCCAGCTTTGACCTAGCTGAGTCCAGCACCACCTTTGTGACAGAAAACCCATATTTCCTCACGTTACATTCCCCCCTTTTTGTGACGACATGGAGGTCAAGCAGAGGCCACCTGACGTCACAACCACAATAACGTGATGTACTCGTGAAGGTAGACATCCCAGATGAAGGCAGGAACGATGAAGCGTCACCACAGGTCTTGCGTAGAAGGGAGTCTATCCTGATCAGACGATTAAGGCCAAAACTGTTGCAATCATTGCAAAGTAATCCACTTAGGAATCTTGAAAGCAGAGCTATTTCAATAGCAGTTAATTTTCATGAGCAATAATGCAAAGGTATGCAAAGGATAAGCAGCTCGTGTGCCACACGGAGCTGGGCAGGTGATGTATTCCCCAGGCGTAGTCCAGGCGAAGTCCAGCGCAGACCTCGACCCATCTCGAACCACGACCGAAGCCCCATGCGACAGGAAACCAGTTGAAGGATGGTGAAGACGACCCCTCTGATGGGATGTAGTCCATACGAGCTCGGAGAAGGAGACAAAGTGAGACAGCCCACACGATAGATAGCATTTGATGCAAATCAAAGAAATCAATCAAAACCTATCTATGGGTGCCTCTGGGAAAATGTGGATGCCTTTTGTGAATTATCTAAAGAAGAAATGTTCTGCACCCTGCTCTACATGTCATGTAAAAACGTGATGCAGCGAAAACCAAATAAAAGAAAGTAAATCCTAACTGATATGTGAAACTCAGCAGGCTGCACCAAGTAAAGGCATATATAAAAAAAAAGAAATAATCATGAAAATGAAGGGCAAATTGGCTTGTGGCCCTTTAAGGGAAATAGTAACAAAATAAAATTAACTTTGTAATCAAATATAATCATGCTACACAAAGCCCTAATAAAAAGATAGAGATGTAAATCAGTTCTAAAAATGTAAATCAGTAGGTTAGTAATCCCTAAAAATGTGAGTTAGTAACAGGACCCTGGCTGGAGGCAGGTAACCTGAAAAAAAAAAGTCAAAGGATATCACATTTGTTAAAAATTCATCCCACAAACGAGAGAATTTGTAACGGTCCACCAGTCAGTGGAAGAAAATCCGTTCAGAATAGAGTCGGTCAGAATAGAGTTTTGAATCTGGTATTGCGGACCCACAGAGACACGAGTTTGGACAAATCTGTGGGAGCAGGCTCATAAGCGATTTGGTAATCGAACTGTTTGTATCTTGTGTTACGAACCCACAGGGAAACTTGTTTGAATTTACCTGAGGGTTCCGTCCGGAACTCGAGTGAAGCTGATGGTTTAACAGTTAGATCAGAACCTGATTTTACCTGCTCAAAGTTGGGTTGCAGCTTTACGGAGGCGACTTTGTTGTGATCAGAAATAGTAGTGAACTGGAAATGCGAAACCGATGCTCGCAAAGCAGGAGGAGGCTCTCCACCCCCCTTTTGTTTCTCAAACTTATGCCGTGTCTGTGAGACAGGAGAAGCATAACAAAGAACCGTTCTTAAGCTCTTAAAAGCTCTGTTACCAAGAAGATGCACATTGTCACCTGAATCGTGCCGAAAGAGTAGGTGTTCAGATGTCCAAAGACCCGGCCGGAGGTGTTGGACGTGGAGGTTCTGAAAAGGAGTGATCCAAGGATGGTTGTGTCACGGGTGTCAAAGCAAATCTAGCCATGTTTAGAATCAGATACAGACATGATGCTAGCTTTAGAAACATGGTATGTCCTGAAAACTGAAGCCAAGAATACTTTATTCCCAAGAATGATGGAGGTTCCCACACTGAATCAGAAAAACCCGGTTTAACCAGAGTAGTTACAGACTGACTAGAACTCCGCCCCATAGAAGGTGCAGCACCTAACTCCGGGTCGGAGGTCAATGTTGTCAGCTGAATTGGGGGAAGGTCAGTGTCGAGTTCTGCAATGACCCGCCCGCTCGGAGGATGCGTTCCCCCGAACCGGTTGAAGTCCGCAACGGAAAACTCAGAGCCACTCAGCACCCCCCCTTTGTCAGGAGGGGCCCCGAGCAGAGCATCACTGCACGCACCTACACCTCCCGGGCCGGGTTGCCTTCCTGAGCCCGTGAGAGAGGTGTGCGCAGCAACCACCGAGCCACCTTTAATATCGCCACTGACCACAGGACTGCTGGAAACCGCAGGGTTTTCTGCGTCGTCGTGGTCACCTGTAAGAGAAATCACAGGAAAGAGAGCACAGAGGCCCGAGACTAAGTCACACCCCTTTGAAAGGAGAAAGGAATTGGCCACCGTATTAGCAGAGGTCACAAACTGAAAAGTGGCAAGGTCATTCACATAAAGGTCAAGATGTCCGGGCACAAACCCCTTAAATGGCATGGTAGCTCCGTCCGGAGACCACAAGTGTTTCACGGCGGCTGACGTTCCCATCACGCCCCGATAAAGAAGCTGGTTTGTGCATGAGGCGGACTGACGAGTAAAACAGACCTCTGACTGAAGCGGTGGGTCACAGCCTGAAGATTTCACACCCATGCTGGAGGGATGGTCAGCCTCTAACATGGATGACAGAGAAGAAGCATCAGGAACCAAAGGGTTAAGCACAACCTGTTTGTCAGAGAGGTTAACCATAGGCTCAAGAGATTTATTTAGCTTAAAAGCAGCAGAGAAAGTGTTGTTTATTTCAAACCTTGATATTGATGGTGGGTTTTTGACCCCCTGGAAGAAATAAAAGTAAAGAAAAAGCGTTATGACTGTAAACAGCATGTTGTTTGAATTCACGTCATGAATTGCAGACCAGAACCACCTCCGACCCAGTGCAGCTGGCACCGAACCGCAGCCACTAGTCCCCACTGTCCCCGACCGGCGGCACCCCGCCTAAAACGGGCCCGTTCGGGCGGGCGGAGGGACCAGCGATGCACAGCCGGTGAACAGTCTCCTGCGTGTTGGCATGTTCTGGAAGCAGAACGTCAGAGAACCTTACATCAGGTGTAACAGTGCAAGAAAGATTTTGTCGTGTCTCGTCCATCTCCCATTAAGTTCAGAGCAACTCGCGTTTTTACCTTCTGAGCCAACGTAAAACTCCGGGCAGATTCCTTAATATGTCTCACACAAACAAGGACTGTCCGTAGCCTACTTAACTTTATGACACAGGGTAAAACAAGGAATTGTTGATAGAGAAATGAATACACACAACTTCACAAGATGGAAGAAAAAGGCATGGAACCGAGCAACGGAGGCTGTGAAAGCCGACCCGTCCACCGGTCCAAAATAAAAAAAAAATAATAATAAACCCTACGCTGCCGTGTTGGTATCAGACGGACAAACGTAGCAAACTGTAGATTCTACACACCGTAGCGATTTACAAGAATCACCGCCAATGCGGGTTTTGTGAGGACACAGACTGACTGTGTCAGAAATGGTATGACAACTTTACGGGACGCGTGCCCTATTTGTCTAACTGTGGCGCTAGCTTAGCTCTCCGGCCAGGCCTAGCGTTCTTTGTCTGTAGCGGCCAGACTTAAATTTTCCCGATTAACAAGTAGGCATCTCGCTCCACTTTTAATACGGACTTTAAAAAGCGTACGCAATCTGAATGCAGTAACGCGTGACGGCCATAACTCGGCTTACGACGTTTACCGTGCCATCAAGCTACGGTAGGTGCCTACGGGCATTCCGTTTAGATTCGGCTTCGATCAGTCGCCTATGCAATGGAAATAATTTCCACAATAGCTCGCCCACAGTGTCAACACACTGAGACGAAGGATGTCCGAGAATTTAGGTTCGGTTCGGAGGTTCGGAGCATTTAGTGATAATTTTAGGAACTGAGGATAAGCTGCTCACGGTAGCTCACCCAGCACGGCTCAGAGCGGAAATGTCGCTTTCCGACCTGAAGAGATTAGAGACGCGGCGGCGCGTCAAAATGGACAGAATTTAGTCAAAAGCACAACTCACACGTTCGCTCCGAAGGCGAAGATGGGATAAATCAAAGTTGGGTCTGTAATTTGCGGTCAATTTGAGATCGGAGTTCTTCTCCGTCAAGTTATCACCCGGACGTCTCCCGGAAGAGTGACTACACCGGAACAATTTCCGGTTTTTCAAAATAAGACATCAAAGTGAAACACAGAGAAAAGCGTTGTTTGTAGCTTTTAGATGTTAGAAATCAGATAAATCGCAGATATAGAAGTCTGGATACGCTCGCCATTAATGTAGCGTTGTGGTTTTATGCTCTTTTATGAAAGAGAAACCATGCTACGTATTAATTCGGAATATTAATTTTAATAAATCAATAACAAAATTTTATATTGTTCAGAAGACTCAAAGGTTGTTTTCATCGATAAACTGACGATAATATCTGAGTGTCTGTGTTTCAGTTCAATGAGGAAACCAGTTTCACAATTAAAAGTTTTAATTCATCAAATTAAACTAATGATTTTGAAATTGACAAACAGGAAATACAATCAACATTGGTAACTTTGTGGGACAATCTTTTTAACAGTTGATATGCTGTTCTGGCTCAAATAGACCTTCTGATGAATTTATGAAGATTGAGAATGTTGTGATTTGTGCTGGTGATATGAGATGAGATGGATGCGTGTGTGCATCTGATTTTGCTTCAGGAAGAAACAGGTGTCTGAGTGAAAAGTGATGGTTTGAATAAACTTAGGTTTAGTGGAAAAGATGCATCAAAACGCTATCTGTCGTGTTTTGCCTCACCGAAAATCGGACCCTCTGTTGGACCCGGGACGTCACCTTAGGATGTTTCATCCAGGGCACCTTGGCTGGCAAAGAAGACAAAGGTGCGCTGCGAACCGGTCCAGAGTTGTCCTCGGTACACGTTGATGGTAAAGCGTTTTGTCGACGCGCTTTCTTAAGTTAATTCACTCAGAAATCAAAAGACTCGGTAATGAGTCTGCGTTAGAAGTTGCGATTCAGCTATTCTGCCTGGCTTGGCAGAAACAGCGTGAAAAGGGGGGGGGGGGGGGGGGGGGGGAGAAACGAGCCAGCCGGCTCTGCCCCCCTTTCGGTTTTCAGGTCCACACTCTTTCGTTGTCCAACACGAACTGCCACAAAAGACTGAAAACTTACCAAAACCTTTCTCTTCTCAAAGCAAAACATGTGCGTCATCAAATGTGTCTGGAGTTTACTGTGGGAAGGTGTGTGTGGGTGTGTGTGAATGTTTGTGTGCTTGAGTGTGAAGGTCAGTACCAAACATTCTCAACACTGTCTAATTATGGATTCATTAAGCCATTATAATTACCCCAAAGCATAAGAACCATTCATTTGATTAAACACATTTATAATGAGCAAAATGATAATGGTTATTCTAACATTAAAATCAAGAAAAAGAAGTTTAAACTTTATGTTTTGACTTGGTCTGGGTACAACTCATGTAAACACATCTTCTGGTAGACTGCAGGTGGCTGATGTTATGGTTTCCTCCCAGACTCGCTGGCGTTCAGGACTTAATCTGTGGGTGAAAGTTCTCAATGACCCAGCTTTGACCTAGCTGAGTCCAGCACCACCTTTGTGACAGAAAACCCATATTTCCTCACGTTACATAGACAAGCTTCCATATGGGCTCCAAGAGAAGTGGGTGTCATCTGGATCGGGTTTCAAAGAGGAGAACAACGGTCGCTTCCCTCCCTTTAGTTACTTTTGTGACTTTGTGTGTCATGAGGCAAAGAAACGAAATGACCCTAGCTTTATTCGGCAAGGCAACGATGCAAACTCCACGAAACCCGAAAGATTACCAGTAAAGAGCTTTAACACCACCAAGTCTATCACAGTCCACAAAACAGATGTTTCTACATTCAACAACGACCCTAGTCAGAACTGCCCGTTGCACAATAAACCTCATCCGCTTAAAAAATGTAGGACATTTAGAAACAAGCCCATTGAGGATAGGAAGGCCTTTCTAAAACAGAAAGGAGTATGCTTCAAGTGTTGTTCTTCAACTTCACATGTTGCTAAAGACTGCAACTCTTCCGTGAAATGCTTAGTTTGTGAAAGTATCCATCATGATACAGCCATGCACCCTGGCTCACAACCTCAATTTACTAAAGCTCCTCCACCGCCACAAGAGAGCGGCAGGGAGAGAGAAGATCATTCTGGTGTGGCCGATGTTACAACCAGCTGTACAGAGGTTTGTGGCCCTGGCCAGTGGGGTCGTTCTTGTTCTAAGATCTGCCTTGCAAAGGTCTACCCCAAACGTTCAAAACAGAAAGCAATTAAAGCTTATGTAATCCTGGATGACCAGAGCAATCGCTCTTTAGCCAGGCCAGAGTTCTTTGAGCTGTTTGGTGTTGAGAACAAACCACTCTCATACCATCTCAGAACATGCTCCGGCATCATCGAAACTTACGGCAGGAAGGCAGAAGGGTTCCAGATAGAGTCACTGGATGGCAAAGTTCTCATACCTCTTCCAGCACTCCTTGAGTGTTCTGAAATTCCCAACAGCAGAGCTGAAATCCCAACACCAGGTGCAGCGTTGCATCAGCCACATCTCCACCATATAGCCAAGTACATTCCCGATATGGACCCAGAAGCAGAGATACTCCTGCTCCTCGGAAGAGACGTGCTCAGAGCACACAAGGTCAGGCAGCAAGTTAATGGGCCACATAACGCTCCCTTTGCACAACGTCTCGATCTGGGCTGGGTGGTGATAGGGGAGGTGTGTCTAGGTAACGTGCATAAGCCAACGGTTGACACATTCAAGACCCATGTGCTAGACAGTGGTCGCCATTCCATATTTCAGCCCTGTGCGAGTGTCATGCATGTCAAAGAAACACAACCAAGCTTCAGCAAGCCCAACAAAACACCAGAGAGGTTGCTAGGGCACACAGTGTTTAACCAAACTGAACATGATAACAAACCTGCCCCATCAATAGAAGATATTCTCTTCCTAGAGATCATGGACAGAAATGTCTACAGAGATGACACCGGCAGTTGGGTGGCTCAATTGCCGTTCAAGGAGCCACGGCGACGTTTGCCGAATAATAAAGAACATGCGGTTAAGAGGTTTGAATCCTTGCAATGCCAATTCAGGAGGAAACCTGAGATGCAGAAACAATATGTGGCATTCATGGAGAGGATCATTGCCAATGGTCATGCAGAGGTGGCACCACCTTTGAGGGAAGATGAAGAGTGCTGGTTTCTTCCATCATTTGGGGTATACCACCCACAAAAGCCCAACCAAATCAGGGTGGTTTTCGATTCCAGCGCTCAGTACTGTGGGGTCTCACTCAACGATGTGCTTCTGACTGGACCCGACCTCAACAATTCTCTCTTGGGTGTCCTTCTACGCTTCCGAAAAGAGAGAGTAGCAATCCTCGCAGACATTCAACAAATGTTTCACTGTTTTCTGGTTCATGGAAATCACCGCAACTTCCTCCGGTTTTTGTGGCATGAGGACAACGACCCCAAAAAGGCAGTTATCGACTACCGAATGAAGGTCCACGTTTTCGGCAACTCACCATCCCCAGCTGTGGCTATCTATGGTCTGCGAAGAGCCATTGCCGAAGGTGCAGAGAAGTATGGTACTGACACGGTGAAGTTTGTGGAAAGGCACTTTTATGTTGATTATGGCTTGGTGTCTCTCCCATCTGAAGTGGAAGCTATCAACCTTCTCCAACGAACTCAGGCTTCACTTGCTGAATCAAACCTGCGCTTGCACAAGTTTGTGTCAAACGGTCCAGCAGTCACTGGAGCTTTCCCACCAGAAGATTGTGTCCCACTCATCAAAGATCTGGATTTGAGTGGCGAGACACCACCTATGCAGCGCAGCTTGGGCTTGCTGTGGGAGATTGGATTAGATACATTCACATTCTCTGCATCAAGTATTATCAAACCTTTCACCCGACGTGGTGTCCTCTCCACTCTCAACAGTGTTTTTGATCCTATGGGTATGTTGGCACCTGTCACAATCGAGGGACGAGCCCTTCTTAGGGAACTTACTTCGGAGTTGAACGACTGGGATATACCTCTCCCAGAAGACAAGCTGAAGAAATGGGAAACCTGGAGAGATTCTCTTCAAGTCCTAAAGGAGCTTCATGTGCCACGTGCATATGCATCAGCCTCACTCACCAAAGCTGTGCACACAGAGTTGTGTGTATTCTCGGATGCCTCGACCATGGCCATTGGGGCCATCGCCTACTTGAGAGCCAGTCAGGAGGATGGCAAGGTGGAGGTAGGATTTGTTATGGGCAAAGCCAAATTAGCACCCCAGTCTGAACCCACCATCCCGAGACTCGAACTCTGCGCTGCTGTCCTTGCAGTAGAAATGGCGGATCTTATCCGAGAGGAGCTGGATCTGAAATTGGATGCTGTCAGGTTCTACACGGACAGTAAGGTTGTGCTGGGGTACATTTATAATACAACAAAACGCTTCTACACTTATGTCCACAACAGAGTTCAACGTATCCGGCAGTCTTCCAGACCAGAACAATGGCATAATGTACGCACGGACGAAAACCCTGCAGACCATGCATCCAGATCTTTACCTGTATCCCATCTTGCACAAAGTTCGTGGTTCACTGGACCTTCATTCCGGCATCAGTTATCTGCAGAAACAGCACAAACTGGTGAGAAGTTTGAGCTCATTGACCCAGACAATGACTCAGAGATTTGACCACAGGTACACACCTACACTACTCAGCTGGAGGAACCTGTACTTAACCCTGACCGTTTTCATCGTTTCTCAACCTTTACATCTCTACTGCGAGCAGTGGCATTTCTTATCCATATGGCAAGATCTCACAAACAGTCAAACCAGAGCAACAGGTGTACAGGATGGCATATGTGTCACTTACCTCGTAATGTGGATGAAATAGCTCAAGCAAAATGTGTCATTTTGCAAGCAGCACAAAGGCCGGCCTTTGCCAAGGAACTGTCAGCTCTCCAAGTAAACAAAGCGGTGCCCACAAACAGCCCTTTGCATAAACTCAGTCCAACTTTGGAGAGTAACCTCATTTGTGTTGGAGGCAGACTGAAACATTCTCAACTCACGTGAAGAAAAGAACCCAGTAATCCTTCCCAAAGACAGTCACATTTCCTTACTGCTTGTGCGACATCAACATGAGCAAGTGAGACATCAGGGTCGACATCTCACTGAGGGCGCAGTAAGGGCAGCTGGACTGTGGATTTTGGGTGGTAAGCGACTGATCAATTCAGTCCTCCACAAATGCGTAATGTGCCGGAGGCTGCGTGGGAGACTGGAAGAACAACGCATGGCTGACTTACCGCCGGAACGTCTCAAAGTTTGCCCTCCATTCACATATGTTGGGCTAGACGTCTTTGGACCTTGGTCTGTTGTAACCAGACGCACCAGAGGAGGACAGGCAGAGAGCAAACGGTGGGCCATGATGTTTAGTTGTTTGAGTTCAAGGGCTGTCCACATTGAGTTGATTGAGTCTATGGACACATCCAGCTGTATAAACGCTCTTAAACGTTTCTTTGCTCTCAGGGGCCCTGCAATGCAACTCTATTCTGATTGCGGGACCAACTTCATTGGAGCTAGCAAGGAGCTGGAGATGGACAATACTGTACAGAGGTACCTTGGCAAGCAAGGATGTACCTGGAACTTCGGACCTCCACATGCTTCCCACATGGGAGGTTCATGGGAACGGATGATAGGTGTTGCTAGGAGGATCCTTGATTCAATGCTTTTGCAGCAGAAGAGTCACCTAACTCACGAAGTACTGTCAACGCTAATGGCAGAAATCACAGCCATCATCAATGCACGTCCACTCCTACCTGTGTCTACGGACCCACACCAACCTTTTATTCTTTCACCGGCTATGCTCCTCACACAAAAATCAGGAGTTCCATCTCCTCCTGGAGATTTCATTGACAAGGACCTCTTCACGAAACAATGGAGGCAAGTTCAAGCGCTCGCTAACCGGTTTTGGGCCCGTTGGAGCCGAGAATACTTACCATCTCTACAGCAAAGACAAAAATGGACAGTGCCACGCAGAAACCTTCAAGTTGGGGATTTGGTTCTCCTCAGAGACAAACAGACTGTCCGCAACTGCTGGCCCTTGGCTGTGGTTAGGGCAACCTTTCCTGGGAAGGATGGACATGTGAGGAAGGTTGAGCTCAAAACAGCCGACCAAGGTGATGCTAGAACTTTCTTGAGGCCAGTTGCGGAAGTGGTTCTACTTCTGCCTAAGGACTAATTTAAGGACAGTCATTTGTACCCATTCACATTCACAGTGACCTCACATAGGCCAGGCGGGGAGTGTGACGCCTCAAAAGGCATTTATGTCATTTATATTGTATGTTTCATTTAAAGTTATCCATTTATATGCTTTTAAGTTACAAAGAACAGTGAAGAGGTTAAAAATGTTAAATGGGAAGATTTTATTTTGAAGGTGAACTTATTAATGACCTCACTTCCTGCTGGGTTACATGCATTGGTTGATTTCCTGTTTACTTCCTCTTCTTGGCTGCTCTGAGAGTGAGAGTGTGCCATCCACTTGGGAATATTGTTCAGGCAACGCCGTAAGTGTTTAAACTCCATGATGAAGATGTTAAAAAAGCATAAATGGCTGTAGTTGTTAAAAAACAGAACTATTTTATTTGTATTTCACAATGATTGATTTGTAAATGTTAAAAGAGGTATTTGTTTGATGGTCATTTTCTTTGCTCAGGCTAATACAATTATGTAAAGTCATATTTTGAGTTAGTTTGTGAGGCAATATTTATGTAAACATGATCATTTATTCTATTCTGTATTTCTTTTCAATTACAGTTTTCACCGCTTGTCAAATGAAGGTTCTAAGAGTAAAAAGTCAACTCTACAGTACTCTGACTCCTGTATTGTTTGACAAAGGTTTAGCTTGGTGTTTACTCAGAGTTGCTACACTCTGCAACAGGACACTACAATCTGGTAGGGGTTGACTTGCTCTTTAACTTCAATGAAGATCGTAATCATCTTGTCTTAATCCACCCGAAAAACTAGTACATTTTAAATATGCCTAAACAATCGAGATTGAAAAATTTAAAACTTTTTTTTCTACCCTGGGAAGGAGTGACAGGCAAAATTACAGGTAAGCCATCTACTGCCACAATTTCGACCAGTCACTGTCACAAGTAAATAAATAACGTACAGCTCTGGGTGATGTTTTAGCTTAAATATAAATCCAACATTTTAGTAATGCTCTGATTAGTCTCCCAATAGTTTAAAACCCACAGGGTGTCACTGCAGATTTTGGCAATGCCAGGTTGTCACGCAACGGTGTTAGGTAGGATTAGCACGGACTCTCCGCACCGTCAACGGCTACATAGATGTTCTCGTTTCTACGGGGTTTCCTACAAACGCCTGCTCATTACAAAGTTCTATTTCGTCTAGTCTTAGCCCTTAAGCTAGCTGCTATTGGAAGGATGATCTCCGCATCAGCCAATCATGAAGAGCTTAAATGTACGCCCACCAATAGTGGGCCCCCTCGTGGTATATAACCGCAGTGACCCCACTGCTCACCTCCTTTTTCTCTTCATGCCAAGCTTGAGAGCTTTATTAAAGAGCAAATATTATCCCAAAAGAGCAAAATTATCCGAAGACGACTTACCAGCCATGTCCAGCGACGCCAGACCCTGCCCGACCTGCCAGACGGGCTCCATTTCCAGCGGCGACCTGCACGCTAAGTGTGAGGTCTGTCTCGGGGCTCACCACGCTGGCCTGGCCTTGACCCCGCAGGCCTCGTGCCCGTTCTGTGCCGCTCTGCCCGTGGCGGAGAAGATTCGCCGGCTCGAGTACTTCACTCCCGCCGCCGACGAAGAATTTCCGGTGGCTGACTACTACCCGTTGAACAAGGCTTTGGTTTTCTTCGACGCCGGTCAGGAGCCGGCTGGCTTCAACCGGCTGGATGACGTCACCGACAGCGAAAACTACGATGAGGCGGCATCCCTCCTAGACATAACGGAGGTCGATGAGCTTCGCTCAGCGGGTCCTTCTGCCCCAGTGGCTTCTCGCTCCTCCCTGCCAGCAGTAAGAGCACTGCTCCAGGAGCTGCCCGCCATCATTTCTGCGGCAGCAGCCCGCAAGGGGCTAGCTGTGCCAGAACCGGCCCTGCCTGAAGCGGATGATTTGGCGGGAATTTTCGGGGCAACTCAGACACGCTGTCCAGGCCCTATTTGGCCGCGCTTCCCCGCTGCTATGAGCTGCTGGTCTGCCGCCTTCTCCGAGCCTGCCAAGCTCAAGGCGCCAGTCTCCATGTATGCGCCCATCACCAAGGTCGAGGGGTTTTCCGACCAAGGCTGGCCGTCCGTTCCTCCGCTAGAGCCGGATTTGGCCTCGCTGTTCGGCGCCAAGAACCACCTCGCTGGCCCGCGAGCTGTTCCCGCTTCAAAACATGACCAGCTGCTGACGCGGCTCACCGACCGCGCACATCAGTGTGCCTTTCAGACCGGCGCTGCAGGGAATAACATCGCCCTTCTTGCCTTCGGCGTCTCCAAGATGATGGAGGAGCTGGAAGCTCCCGAGGAGTCGAAAGCCGTCATAACTAAGACTGCTGATGCTATCCTCAATCTGTGTGCTGCTGTGCTCACCGGTTCTGCTCGCATCGCTGCCTGGCAGACCCTCATCCAGCGAGCGATCTGGCTGAAGGCCCTGCCCTCCATTCCGGAACATCTGCAAAGGGAGATGCTGGATGGCCCCATCACCACCGATGTTCTGTTTGGTCCCCATCTTAGGGGCGTCATTGAGAGGGCTCAGAAGACGGCCGAACTATCGGCTACGGTGCGAGACCTGGTCCACCCTCGGTCAGCCTCGCACTCCGGCTGTTCAGCCAGAGGATGGGACGAACGGCGCGGAAGCTTCAGACGTCCAGCTGCACTGCCCGCTCAACGGAGCCGGCCTCCCGCTTCGGCTCCACATCAGCGGGACCAGCGAGATGGCGGACAACGGTTCCGGTGGGGCCAGCAGACGCCGTCTTGGCAGTCCCAGGTGCAGGAGCCTCGCCGAAAGCAGCCACGGAAGTGACTCTTTGGGGGGAATGTGTGTGTTACTGATTGTTCTGATGTTGTTGGTTTTGAAATAAAACCCAAAAAACGTCACTCAAAGAGCTCAATCCTACAGTCCTCCGCAGAATCCTCTGCCGAGTTTTCACACATGTTCCCCACACCAAGCACTGCTGCACGCACACATGTTCCTGCAGGTAGTCATAATACACGGCCAGCCGTAAGGGTGCGCTCCATTTGCGCTCCGGCCCCAGCATCCGGCCAGGCCCAACTCTTCCCGCTCTCCCCACGCCGTTGGGTGGGGCGGGATGTCATGTCGCTGTCTCGATCACGCGCGGTGGCACAGTGCGCGGCTCCATCCGCTATCACTCTGTCGCCCCCGTGCACAGGCCCGGCTCCCACTTGTCCTTCACTCTCGGACTCCACGCTCCGCAGTGTGGACCAGCCTGTTCCAGCTGTTTCGCACTCGCCCTTTCGAGCGCAGCCCTCCATGGGTCGCCCCCAGTTCTCTGGTACGAGCGACGGCGGTAAGGGCACATGCACAACCCTCAGACGTTGTTCACGTGACCGCGCACACGCGTCCACTGTCGGAACGCGCGCACGAGTGGCGCCGCCTTTGCATCATGAGCAAATGGATTTCGGACACCATTCATTGCGGTCACACACTTCATTTTCAGGCCACTCCACCTCCCTTCAACGGGATCGTGGAGACGACGTTCACATCGCAAGTACAGTCTCAGGCGCTAAAGCTGGAGCTGCGGGAACTTCTGTCCAAAGACGCTATTTCCCGAGTCCCTCGCGGACATGAACTCTCGGGTTTCTACTCCCGCTACTTCGTAGTACCGAAGAAGTCGGGAGGAATGAGGCAGATTCTCGACCTGTCCCTGTTCAACTGCTCCATAGCAGTAATGCATTTCCTCATGTTAACGATGAGACAAGTCCTGGAATCTGTGCGCCCCGGGGATTGGTTCATGTCAATCGACCTGAAAGACGCATACTTCCACATACCAGTAGTTCCAAACCACCGGAAGTTTCTGCGTTTTTCGTTCAAGGGAGTTCAATATCAGTTCAATCGCCTCCCTTTCGGCTACTCGCTAGCCCCGCGCACCTTCTCCAAATGTCTGGAGACCGCGCTGCAGCCACTGCGCACGGAGGGAATGAGGGTCTTATTTTACCTGGACGATCTTCTCCTGTGCGCTCGGTCCAAGGACGAGGTGTCACAGCAAACCAGGAGGTTGACAGAGCATCTGTCAACCCTAGGGTTTTCTATAAACTGGGAAAAGAGCTCCATCCTTCCATCCCAGTCGATTGTGTATCTCGGGGTGGAGTTGGACGCCTCCCTAATGAGAGCACGTTTGTCGCCTGCAAGAGCGGCAGATCTCTCCACGGTGATCTCCCGTGTTCAACCCCGCAAGATCGTGAGAGCCCGGTTAGTCATGAAACTCCTAGGCATGATGTCCGCAGCCCATTCAGTGGTGCCGCTAGGTTTGCTGCGCACGAGGCGCTTGCAACGCTGGTTCGTCCGCCTCCGGGTACACCCGATACGTCAGAAGAGACGTATTTTGAGGATTCCCCCTTCAGTGGGCGGGGACCTCACTCACTGGGGGAACCCCTGCATCCTCTCATGCGGGGTTCCCATCGGATGTCCTGCGTCACACGTATCTGTGTTTACGGATGCGTCACTGTCGGGGTGGGGGGGCACGTGCTTGTCCCATACGGTGGCAGATCGCTGGCCCTCCCACACGCACGAGCACATACATGTGTTGGAGCTTATGACAGTGAGGAATGTGATCAGACACTTCGCTGCCCTTCTCGAGGGCCGTCATGTCGAAGTTCACACAGACAACCGGGTAGCGGCAGCCTACATAAATCGCCAAGGGGGAGTTCGATCCCTCCCACTGTTGCGTGTCGCCACAGATTTACTGTGTTGGACACATGTCCACCTGCTGTCCATCAGAGCCATCTACATTCCGGGGGTACTGAATGTAGCGGCAGACATCCTGTCGAGAGGGGGACCCCGCGACTCCGACTGGCGTCTACATCCTGCACTGATATCACAGATCTGGATCAGGTTCGGGGAACCGTCTGTGGATCTGTTCGCGGCTCGCGAAAACGCTCAGTGTCGCCTGTGGTTTTCCCTGAGTCCCCGGGACGGACCCCCGCTCGGGGCGGACGCCTTCTCACACCAGCCCTGGCCTCGAACGCTCCTTTATGCGTTTCCACCAGTCCCTCTGATTCCCCGTCTCCTGGACCGAATTCGGTCGGAACAGCTCTCGGTGATTCTGGTGGCTCCCAGATGCGTGTCCGCGTCATGGTTTCCGGACCTGCAAGCGCTAGTGTCCGGCTCCCCGTGGAGGGCGGACGCCCTTCTCCAGGCGGATGGGATAATCAAACATCCTCCGGAAATAGGCCAACGGCTGTGGGTCTGGCCGCTGAGCGGTCACGCTTAGTGGCTTCTGGGCTGCCGCATGATGTGGTCGCCACGATTCAGAGTGCGCGGGCGCCCTCTACCATTGCCTCTTACGCTGCTAAGAGGGCAGCTTTCCAGAACTGGTGCGCAGAACGGAATGTTCAAGCGCTCTCCTGCCAGCTGGCGGATGTCCTATCGTTTCTGCAGATACTGATGGACAGGGGCCTCGCATTCAGCACTGTTAAGACATATGCTGCAGCTATCTCATCATGTCATCAGGGTTTTGGAGATAGATCTGTTTTCAATCATCCCCTCACAAAACGTTTTCTAAAAGGTGTCAGAAGGAACAGACCTGTGTCCCGCCAGCTTTTTCCCCAATGGGATCTAACAGTGGTTCTGCGTGGCTTATCTGAAGCTCCATTTGAACCCTTGGACCAGGTCTCACTCAAGTTCCTGTCGCTTAAAACTGCATTGCTGCTGGCGCTAGCATCAGTTAAGAGAGTGAGTGACCTAACCGCCCTCTCAGTGGCTCCCGCATGCCTCAGGATCCGGGAGGATGGCGGGTCTGCTGTTTTATGCCCCAACCCAGCCTTTGTGCCCAAAAGCATTAATGCTTCCTTCAAATCCAGGTCAATTTCATTGGCTGGACTTTTTCCTCCTCCCCATAATTCTGAGGAGGAGGCGGCTTCTCACCTTCTCTGCCCGGTGCGCGCGCTTGCACGATATGTGTCACGCACTTCAGGGATTCGTTGCTCACAAAACCTGTTTGTGCACTACACGGAGTCTTCCCTTGGTCAGGCGCTGTCGGCCCAGCGCCTTTCACGCTGGCTGTGTGACGCCATTTCCCTCGCTTACACATCATCAGGGCAGGATCCCCCTGAGGCACTCAGGGCTCACTCAGCCAGAGGGATTTCCTCTTCGATGGCGCTCCTCAGTGGTGTGTCAATGGAAGACATTTGTCAGGCAGCTTCATGGGCTTCACCCTGTTCCTTTACTCGTTATTATTTATGAGATGTGTCTTCAGGTTCCATCACTCGTTCAGTGCTTGGACCCCAGCAGGCTAAATGAATGCTTATGGCACCTCATTGGCCTTGCTGAGATGGATTTCATCCTCTTGTGGATGATGTTTTTTAGTGGGGGCCCCTCTCTTATCGTGCCTGCCTCAGTCTTTAAGCCTGGTCTGAGGCTGAACGTCCCCCACTAGAGGAGATTTGATTGGGTGTGTCCATTGGTTGTGTTAACCAGTGGGGCGTAAACCCATCCAGCTGCGCTTTATTCCAATAGCAGCTAGCTTAAGGGCTAAGACTAGACGAAATAGAACGTTGGTTACGTATTGTAACCCCAGATTCTATGAGTCTAGTCGCAGCCCTTAAGCCACTGGCCCCACTGGTTATGATGGGAATAAGAGCCATTGGAGGTGAGCAGTGGGGTCACTGCGGTTATATACCACGAGGGGGCCCACTATTGTTGGGCGTACATTTAAGCTCTTCATGATTGGCTGATGCGGAGATCATCCTTCCAATAGCAGCTAGCTTAAGGGCTGCGACTAGACTCATAGAATCTGGGGTTACAATACGTAACCAACGGTCTTCCCCATAACCGGGAGCAAAGATCCCGCCTTTCTCTCTTCTGATTGGCTAGGAGGGCTCTTCTGTGATTGGCTATTTCTTTTAGCAGCAGCCCTCATCCCTCTGCTGTCCTCTTGCCACCAACCACAGTTTTAGGGAGTTTTGTGAAGAAAGCACTATGACGACAATCCGATCCTGTTAGGCAACATATATTGATTTACTTTCTTTTATAAACTGAAAAATATAACAATTGATATTTAAACACATCTTGCTGCATTTATCACTGTTGGCTCTCAAGGATTGGGATCATATTGAAGCATTGTACATATGCTAAACATGTCAGCTTCACGTGCATGCAACATATATGAACAATAATACAACTAAACTATTTTATTAGTAATGAAATATGTAATGAGGTAATGTTCAGTGATGTTTTTTTTTTTTTTTTTTTTTTTCAGAATGGAACTCAACAAAATCCTTAACACAAGGCCTTCTTCCCCATACTGGACTCCTCCACCTTTACATGTCCATGTACTGGCCGAGAGGGAAAGTGCCCGTGTAGTTTCCTGGGAGTTTGGAATAGATTCGGCTGAGGCCAAAATAACAAAAATTAACAAAGTGGTGGCCATCACAGATGGCCACACAGTGTCTAAAGTGACATTATTTGAGGAATTGCGACACAAATTGGAAGAAAAAAACTACATAATTAAAAATTATCATTTAAAAGGAGACACCCCACCACTACACATTATGGTCAGTAAAAAAACAAACTTCTTTAAAAGCTCCCCAGTGGAGCTCACGTGCGAGGGCCTGCCAGAGGCAGCAAAGGCTCTACTCTTTCCATCTTCCAAGGTGGTGAAGCTGATGGAATGGAAAGGTGTTGGCGGCCTCCTGACTGTTGAAGGTCAGGTTGTACAAGTAAGTTTTTTATTATTTCTCATGCAAACAGTAGACCATTTCTTGGAAGTTTAATACCATGTATATCTTTGGGGTGGGGAATAACACACATAAACATTTACAAATAGTAAATATCTTTAAATTGTTGCTTTGTTTCTCAATTAATAATGGTGGTGGATGAAGGGACTGAGGCACCTGTCCTCAAGCAGTATGTTTTGTGTGGTCATCAATCTTGGGAAAGAAAACTCAGAAGCAGTTCTTTGGATGTAGGTGGCTTTGATGTCAGCGGTGCCTCAAACACACCTTTAATACAGCAGCAGGAGGCAAAATCATTAATGCATCTCCAGTACAGTAACATTACAGCTCCCAACATGCAGGCTACTAGTCTCAACTGAGAGATGAGAGAGCTGCGCACGTAAAAAATGCTGGTAATCCTAAGGTATCAACAGAAAGAAACATTGCACGCTAACATAAACATAAAAAAACAAACCTGCACCAAATGCCACAAAATCCAACTATTGTGCACAAATAAACTGAAATAACCCAAAACAAACCTTCAAAACAGCAGGAGGCAAAAATCAGCAACTAATCTCCAGTATAGCAACATTATAGCTCCCTGCCATTTACCATTTAATCTCATTGTGTAGGTCTCCAATGTGAAGAAGATACGGAGTGGCAGTGGAGACGTTCCTCTGCGTCAGATCACTTTGAAGCAGGTAAAGGTACTGGACATACAAATAAAAAGCTGAATCTCCTAATTATTAATATCACAAAATCTGTTTGCATCTTCTTCTGGTCTATAAGTAAGTCCTTAAGCAGCATGTTTTGACTTTCAGGGTGACGTCCAGGCTCATGTCTCTCTGTGGAGGGAGGCAACAACAGAAACACCTGAACTGGGGGCCAACGTACAGATTTCTCACTTGAGAGGATGCAAGGACCAGCTGCAGTCAACTGGACACACAACGATTGAGGTGTGTTTTATATATAATATAATATTATATATATATATATATATATATGTGTGTGTGTGTTCCAGGGTTTCACCCAGTGTTTTAGCTGTTTATTTTTTCTGCACTATCAGTAAAATGTTTCCTATATAAGGAACCCAGCAGGTTGCATCAAGTCACTGACTAGTGTCAGTCTTTACAGCAATCCTCATACTAAGCAAGTGTAACCCCTTCTGTCTTTATCTCCACTGCTGTAAGAGTGAAACTCTCTGGACTCAAGATGGGTAGAGCTCAGGATTAGTTTATTCCCTCTGCAGGCTTCTGCAATTACATGGGAAAACCATGGGGTTCCAGCAACAGGATTCCGCCCAAAACACAGCAAAAGCCACCTCGCTACCCACGTGTGATCGTATAGTGGTATTATTAATTTTTCTTAAAATGAATCAAATTACAAATTGGATGGAAAACAAGATAGAACTTATTCCAAAAAAAATAAGATGTCGCTGCATTGTGATTCAGGTAAACAAAATAAATAGTTCACTTAAACGCAAAATGCACATTCATATTCACCTTCAAATAAATTAAAATGAAATAAGTTTCTTTCATGTGCCAAAATAAATGGAAACAATGCTACCACCTGCTGGACACAACTAAATAAGCACAATGTCTTAAACAGAATTAGCTAGGAGCTCAAACAAATACATTTCACAGAAAACATACCTGCAATTACATAGGATATGCAAAACCATGGGTTTCCAGCAGCAGGATTCCACCCAAAACTAAATAGAAACGTTTAAAATAATGATGAGACAGAAGGCTCTCCCCTCGCTGTTAGTAGCTAGTACAGCACGTGCATTTTTCTACCTTCTAACCAAAGTCACAAAAACCGAAATGTAACTGGACACAATTGTATAGGTGATTCATGGCATTAATGCACAGTTTTTTTAAGCTTAACAGACATCTTTAAATACTTTTTTTTACCCATTTTCAGTCTGGGCGGACTGACGGAGTACTTACCACAGCAAAAGCCACCTCGCTACTAACGGAATACCCGGAAAACAGAACGTTCATCTGTAGCGGACTTCCGCTGTGGATTTTCAAAATAAAGATCTAAAAATCGAATCTAACAAAATAAAACAAACCCCATGGTTGCAATAGCAGGTTTAACAGGAATTTAACAATAACAAAACCAAGCTAATTATTTACACCGTTACACAAGCATGCAGCGACAGTGGAGAGGAAAACTCCCTTTTAACAGCAAGAAACCTCCAGAGAATCCTGGCTCAGTATAAGCAGCCATCCACCATGACTCACTGGGGATGGAGAAGACAGAGCAGACACACACACACACACACACACACACACACACACACACACACACACACACACACACACACACACACACACACACACACACACACACATACATACATACATACATACATACACACACACACACACACACGCATGCACACACACAGGCATTCGTGTATGCACGCCAGCACACACACACACACACACACACACACACACACACACACACACACACACACACACACACACATATATAGGCTACATGCACTCAACATATTAACCACGTGTTATTCTATGACTGCATACATTGTGCTTTCTTAGTAGAGATTATATTTCTTCAAAAAAAAACTTTATTGTCTTTATCTGAGTGAATCTATACTTAAAGCTTTTCCCCAGTATTTCTCTTATCCGATGGCACCATCTAGTGGCTGGCAAGCATATCACACAAAAAGTCTGTTGCTCTGTTTTTTTTAAAGATGGCGACTTCACGTTTCTGTTTATAAATGTGCTTCTGTAGCCGAAAAACAGCTACAACACGTTGTTTTACGAGTATTGTGCTCATGTCATGTTGTGTTCTCATATATTTATATTTTAGAGACTTGTCTGTGAAAAGTTCATCCACTCTGCTTCAGCCGACGTATTCCTTAAATTTGAAGCAAGTCAAATCAGAAATCAGAATAGGTTTATTGCCATTGTCAGTGAACAAACAATTCACAAACTAGGAACTTGCTTTGGTACTAATGTGCTACATATAACATGAATAATAAGATTAAAAATAGAATAAAATAGAATAAAATATAATAAAAAAACTAGAGTACAACTTTCAGCGATAAAAAATGGCAGGTAATGGTAACATGGCCGATAACGTGATGTGTTGAGTACAGAAGACCAACATGGTTGTGTGTTTATAATCTATTCACAAGTCTAACGGCAGATGGAAAGAAGCTGTTCTTATGGCGAGAGGTTCTGGTCTGGATGGACTGTAACCTCCTGCCTGAGGGAAGCGGCTCAAAAAGTCTGTGTCCCGGGTGCGAAGGGTCAGCTGCTATCCGACCTGCACGCCCCCGAGTTCTGGAGACGTACAGGTCCTGGAGAGATGGAAGGCTGCAGCCAACCACCTTCTCAGCAGAGCGCACAATGCGCTGCAGTCTGTTTGTCCCTCACCGTGGCTCCAGCGTACCACACAGCGATGGAGGAGGTGAGGATGGACTGAATGATGGCCGTGTAAAACTGCACCATCATCTGGGCCGGCAGCTTGGCCTTTTTCAACTGCCACAGAAAGTACATCCTCTGCTGGGCCTTTTTGATCAGGGAGCTGATGGATGGCTCCCACCTAAGGTCATGCGTGATGGTGGTTCCGAGGAAGCGGAAGGAGTCCACAGTGGTGACGGAGGTGTCCGTCAGGACGAGGGGGAGAGATGGGGCTGTGACTTTCCTGAAGTCCACAATCATCTCCACTGTCTTCTGAGCATTGAGCTCCAGGTTGTTGCTGCTGCACCAGTACACCAGCCGTTCCACCTCCCTCCTGTAGGCGGACTCATCACCGTCAGAGATGAGCCCGATGAGGGTGGTGTCGTCCGCAAACTTGATCAGTTTAACGGAGTCATGGCTCGAGGTGCAGCAGTTTGTGTACAGGGAGAAGAGCAGAGGAGACAGTACACAGCCCTGTGGAGCTCCTGTGCTAATAGTCTTAGCGGTGGAAACATTCTTCCCCAGCCGCACGCACTGCCTACGGTCCGTCAGGAAGTCAGTGATCCACCTGCAGGTGGAGTTGGGAACGTTGAGCATGGAGAGCTTGTCCAAGTAAGCGGTAATCTAACGTTATTGGTTAGTTCTGGTCGGCACTCAGTGTCCTATTGCACAGAGCTCTGCGGGGCAGGGTGTGTGTGTAGACAAAAAAAAAAAGACGTATTGCTTACATTATATCACATTACATGATAAGATAATCACTTTAACGGATTTCTGACAAATCATTCATTATTTCTGAAAGGGGAAAACTCCAGAAAGCTGCTTTAATTTATGTTACGGCCCTCTTGCTTCTGGGTCTTTTTTTGTGTGTGGCCCTTGGACCATTATAATTGAGGGCCTCTGCTGTATGTTAAAGAAAGTACATTGTTAATATCCAAGGATGTCCAAGGATGGAGAGGGAGTGTTGGGAGAGAGCGGGTCTGTCAGGATGGATGTATGAATGTGGCAGAGAGATTCCAGAGTCCTATTGAGTAGTGGTGGTGAATCCTGATATGCTGAGACCAGGCAGGTGAGCAAAATGCACAAAAATCACGCCAGAATCGACATTCTGACTTGGAAACGAAAAACTTAAAAGGTGAATGCAGCACACTGTATGTAGGGTAACACATGTGTGTGTGTGTGTGTGTGTGTGTGTGTGTGTGTGTGTGTCTGCACAATTCAGTATTATCTTAAATACTGTCAACTGAGTTAATAAATTGGTCAGTAATTCATAAATTAGGATTGTTTGTTTGTCATAGTTTTATAAATGCTCCCTAGTTCAGATTTTTTGAGGAAAGAGGAGAACATGTCAGGGCTTTAGTTGCAGTTAGTGAGTCAGAGAACTAGTTAAATAAATAAAATAAAATGTATTCTATAAAACTTGTAAATGTAAAAGTGAAAAATGGTTTAGTTAAACCTTATTGGTTAACCTAAAGCTAAAATCTTTACACAATGTGCTCTGATACCACAGCTGGATAGCTGAAACTGTAAGCTGAAGCTGCTGAACAGCTGAACTGAAGCCGAAACAAAGCTAAACTGTCAAAATGAGCTGAATGTATTTAAAGATTTAGAAGGAAAAATAATAAACAATAGTAATGAAGTCGAAAGACTAGGTGAAGACTGGAGAAAAAAATCCTAAACAGTAGCAAACTGAAATGACTGAACACTGTTTTAAAAACTGGACAGCTGAAATGTTTAAAGATCTGTTATTTGAGTAGGACTAGTTTAATATATATATATATATATATAAAGGACGCAGCAACAAAAATGAAAATCAGTGAAATGGTCACAATAGTTGTACACTTTATTTATAAAGCACTTAGCAAGGACATAGAATCACAAATTGCTTCACATAGTTTAAAACAGTATAAAACTTAATGAAACAGACTTGAAATCTCTAAATTGTTAAATTTCTCTCAACTAATCAAAAATAAAAGTGAGTGGACCAGAAAGAAATTGTGATAAAACTTGGAAGTATTTAATGTTTTTAAGTAAAAAATTTTTATTGAAATACAGAAAATATGAGTTAAAACAGGTTAGTTTAGAAGTAAAATGTAAATATAATTCACGTCAAATTCTAATAGCATATTTATTTAAACGTTAAAGTTGTTGGACAGCATAATAAAAAAAATTAAATAAAATACAGTAAAAGAACAAAAAATATTGAAAATCTAATTCTTACAATATATAAAATCAATCAAGTAATGTTTTAAAATATGAGAAATATAATTAAATTAATTTCATGTTTTCAGATTAAAAGACTTTAAAGTGAATGTAAAGAAAAAAATGACAAAAGCTTATAGCATTTAACACTAATGCACATTTTAAAACCTTGTTTGAAAAAAACAGAAATAAATAAATTTTTAAAATAATGAAAAAATTTAATTTTTAGAAAATGAATGTTTGAAAGAAGGTTTCACTAATAAGCAGGACTTAAAACACAAAACTCAGAGGCCAAAACGATTAAAAGAAAAGTCCGTTAGAAAAAAGACTATAAAATTACAGATATGGAAGCTTGTACCAACCATCTATTCATAAATTATGATTATAATTTAACTATGGCAACGGTACCCATTTGTACTGTGGAGACATGCTTTAAGCTGAACACAACATTTGTTTTTTTTTAACTCTAACTATTTTAAGAACAAAGTATATTTATGATGAAGGGATGAGTTCACTGACATCCAACACAAAAAAGAAAACAAACATTATTCTGACTTGGAAACTAAAAACTTAAAAGGTGAGTG